TTACTTTAGCTTGTTCAACTGCTCTTCTTTAAGGTTACTTGGCAAGTGGCGGAAGAAGTGTTTTGTGCTACTCGCCGTTCCCTTTCTCTGTACTCTTATCTTCCACTGAACTTCAATTGTTGGCTCATCACCTATCCCAGTAGTTGGTAGTAAACAGTGGTACTGTATAATGTACTAAAACTAGGGTTGTCAAATTGGCAATTATTATTTAAATTCAAATGGATATGCAGAATACGATAAACATACAGAAATACATCAACAAATGTTACAAACGGTAACAATTGAACCGTCGCAAAATGCTGTCGATGTAGTGCTCCTGATCTACCCACAGCTTTCCGTTCTTCCTATCTCGTGTAATCTTCAATCCCAGACAGAAAGTCGCTTCGCCAAGGTCCTTCATTTTGAAGCGATTGTGAAGAAACATCTTCAACTTCGTTAATCATCGTCATAGATGGTGACGAAAATCATTTTTTCACCGTCGATCCGAAAGTACAGGCATGGATCAACTTTGAATCGCTCCAGTCCAAACTCTTCAGCGTTTCATTCAGCTGGTTGTTCCACAGACGGCTGGATTGTTTGAGGCCATGTAGTGCTTTTCGCAAAAGACAGACTTCCTTCGAATTACCGGCAGGTAATATAGATGACTTCATCCGTTAGCTTCCCTTGAAGGAACGCGGTGACAGCATCCATCTGCTCCACATCCAAGTCGTGCTTCACTGCCAGCGCCAGAAGGTATCGGATGGTGGAATACCGTACCACCGGGGAATACACTTCGTCAAAATCGATGCTTGGCAACTGCTAGCACCCTTTCACGACCAGACGAGCCTTGTACCGCTCGATTTCACCAGTTGCTCCTCGCTTTGTTTTGAAGATTAACTTTTTCCAAATAGGCTTACGATCGCTTGGAAGGCTCGTCAACTCCCACGTTTCGTTTTCCTCTAAAGTAGCGATTTATTCACGCGTTGCCGCGACCACTGTCTATCAAAATACAGCGGGAGCGCAGGCTCGTTGTCGGCATCCTCGCTGGCGGCATCTTCGTATTCAGCATCGCTTGAGTCGCTTCCCGTTGCTTTAATGATGTTGATGCTACCCATACTTGGTTGTTCGATCGTATACAGCTCCATGAACTGCACCTGTTGCACATTTTCGACGAGCTCGAGCAAATCCTGCGGTTTGCCTTCTTGAATCACAATCACAATCATTGACATCGACGGCGTATCCAACAAAAACTGCTTTTTGGGATTTGTTGTCGAACTTCGGTACGTGGACCAGTACTAACGATCCGAAAATTCACAAATGTCTCATATCTGGCTTCTTTACCGGTCCATGCTTCCTCCGGTGTCATCTCAAGGGACTTCGTTGAACTCCTGTTTACGAGGTACGCTGCCGTTGAAACCGCCTCGGCCCAAAATTCCTTCGGGAAACGTGAATCGTTCAGCATGCTTGTGGCCTTCTCGAAGAGCGTCCGGTTCATCCGTTCCGCTACACCGTTTTGCTGAGGTGTGTACGGGCAAGTCTTTTGGTGACACACTCCATCCTTCTCCATGCTGCTTCTGAACGGTACATTGACGTATTCTGTCACATTGTCCGTCCTCAGAACTTTCAACTTCCGCACGGGCTGCCTTTCGGCCATGGACTTGAACTTCATGTACCCTTCGAATCCTGTCCAGAAATTACAGGAAGACCTTTCGACCCGCACCGTCGATAAACGGCATGCCAACTCCACTGATTCGTCCATTCCCAGCGGTCAGCACTCCAACTCAATTTCTTGCTTCCGGCTCTCCGGCTCTCCGGCTCCGTTTCCGGAGGAGTTTCCAGCACTACTTCCAACTTCACTTGATAGCATCTTAAGTTAATTTTTCACTACTTTAAGAAACTTCTTTCTTCCGGCTATGATCAGTTATGGGCCCATAACCTTTTCGCAGAGTAAAGGAGTGGCTAAAGACTAGTGAAAATTTATTTCGATTCAATAACTGCTGTTGCTACGTAGGTTGCTAAGGTGCTAAGTAGTATATAAGCGAAGACATCAAATCAAGGAGACTGGCAACTCTGCCAGAATAGCACTGCTAAGGAAAATCATAACATGAAAATGATTTATTTGATCAAAATGAAATCTGAGAAGAAGTTGTATGTAATTAAATGTTTTTTAGAAAAGGATGCTGTGGAGTAATGCCCTAAGCTGTTGTGCAGAGTTTAAGCTGGGGACTTGCTTAAAAAAATCCATAATTTAAAAAAAATTGTTTATTTGCACAATAGAATTAAATTGCATTTGGGTCATTCCAGCTCAAGTGGGTACAGAATTTAAAAAAGTTGTGGTCGATTTCACCGATTTGAGCCAAAATTGGCCAAAACGCTTATTTTGGCATTCTGAACAAATGCCTTTTTGGATTTTACTCTAAAGTGTCTAGATCCTTCTGGGCTACAACCCTGGATTTTCGAGATTTTTAAAAATTTAAGCTTTCAGAAGACGATACTCCACAACCAAATAAGCTATTCGTGATATTAGAACGTGAATTGAAAGGTTTTTAAATGTAGATTCTTACATGTGTACTCACATTTTGTTTTTGTTATAGTAAACAGACTGATTACCACCAGGTATCAAAATTGTCAAAAAATGGCCTATTTTCACCATGGGCGGGATTTTCTATTTCTTAATATTTTGGGCTCAACTCACTCATCTGATCATATCTCGAAAACTATTTGTGCAAATCATTTCTTAACTAACATTTGAAAGGGCGGAAGAGCCAAAATGTAAACAAACCATATTTTGCCACATATAGAGAGAATAGTTCACAAATTACTCGATAAACACGAAAAAGTAGAAGAAAATATCACTTCAAATCATCAAAAACGTTTCTTCTTACATGACGTAGGGGAGTTTACGTATTCTCGTCAATCTAAGCAGCGTCCGAACTTCTATTAGCGATTTCTCAGCGTCACACACATACATGACAGGTTTGTTTGTTGATATTTATCTGCTGCTTGCTGTTCTACCAATTCCAATCGACAGAATTGATCAAAACGGGTTGAACATGTTTTTACAACGCTCCAAACTTCTCAGGTGAGAGTGACTATTGTCGGCAGTCTCTTTTTCTTCGGCACCCCTTCCATTTGAACTGCGTGTTAACCAGCTGTTCTATTATTGGCAACTCGAAATCAGCCGTATTTTGTAGTATGTATATTTCATTTAAAGAAAAATATGGTATAACAGGAATTCACAGTCGTAAAAATGTAATCTGATTGAAGCTGAAAAGGTAAGGAATCGGCTTAATACATTCAGCGAAGAGTTTTGATGGGAAAATACAGTGGAATAAACGTTTCAATTTCGGTTGCCGAAAACAGTCAATGGGTGCCGAAGCCATAATTTACCCTATTTCCAACTTTCAACTCTATGATGCATCTGGTTGTTACGCCTTGCACCAGAACTACGAATTATATCGTTTTAATATGCCAAACGTATTGATTCTGTAGTATCTAGTCACGCCCGATTCATTTGAAATGCATCCGATTGATAGTACACGTGTCAACAACGAACAAAAAGAAGTTCAAAAAAAAAAAAATCTCCGGGCGTAATTCCACTCTCACAAAATTTGCGAACGAAAAACCGAGGCGGAACAACAAACAAAAAATCACGAGGGTGTACTTTCACGGCGTATCACCAGTGTGGGGGGTAACAACATGTATGAAATATTATGAAGTTTTCATCACATTTTCACGACAAAGAAAACTTTTTTTAAAGTTTTTAGTGATGCATGATGATATATTACACTATTTACTATATGTCAAGCTTATAAAATCATCCAGAAAATGGAAAGTCGTGAAATAGGATTAATTTTTAGGTCATAAAAATTCAGAAGCGATTTTCTCGATATGGTCATTTTGAAATTACGCCCTTTTCAAATGTCAGTCTAGATTTGCCCTTGGAAACACATCAAGTAGTAGAGTTTTCCAAAGTGTGGTGAAAATTTGAGCCCAAAATATTTTTTGGCAATTTTAATACCTGCCGGTAATCGGTCTATTTACTGTAGTTACTATAACAAAAACAAAATATGAGTACACCTATCAGAATCTACATTAAAAAACCTTTCAATTGACGTACTAATATCACGAGTAGCTTATTTGGTTGTGGAGTAATCTCTTCTGAAAGTTTAAATTTTTAAAAATCTCGAAAATCCAGGGTTGTAGCTGAGAGGGATCTAGGCACTTCAGAGCAAAATAAAAAAAGGCGTTTGTTAAGAATTCCAAAATAAGCGTTTTGGCCAAGTTTGGCTCAAATCGGTGACATATCAACCACAGGTGGTGTACCCACTTGAGCTTGAATGACCCATATTTCTTAATAAAATAATAATTCTACGCATCCTTTTTGTTAAATTTGCACATATTACTTTTTTTTAAGTCAAACCGTTGTCAAGTTAATGTGAGTTTATAAAATAATAATTATGAATTTTCAACATTTAAGAGCAACTAAATGTTTTTTTTCCGTGATTCAATAACAAACCATTCATTTTCAGATATCGTGGCTGTCAGACATACCCGCTTCTATCTAGTTGCAGCGGATGAGTTGTAATGCTCAAAAGCAAGCACTTATCACCGTAACAATCGCAGAAACACATATTGACGGAGTCACCCTCAATCTTCAGCACCGTTCTTCGCGAATCTGAACTGCTGATCGCGCAATACATTTAAGCCACAGAGAGAACGAGAGAGAGCGAGATTTTGCAATTTTCAAGAGAGAGAGAGGCAGCCTTGTGTTGACTGCTGTAGGTAATACGCGATCGGCGGAGCTTTTGGCTCAATGGATGACGACAACGCAGTTTCGCGATCAGCAGCGACCGCGATGGCAAAACAAACAGGTGAGCCCGAAGAGAAAAGAGAGCGACCCATGAGCGATGAATGAGAAAAAAAAGAAGAGAGACTGCTGCTACCTATCGGGAGGCTGTTGCTGTGCTGCGCTGTAGATTGTCAACGTTGTCGTCGTCGTTCGAGATTTTCAGGATGCCATTGAGAAGTACACGGTGGAGAAGGAAAGTGCGCTTTTTTGTTCACTCCGAACGAACGATATCTAATTAGTCAGCGAGATCGATCGGCGGAACACACAAAGGGCGGTGATCGAAATCGAAGGAACGAACTAGTCGAAGCGAGAGTGTGTGGAAAACGAGGAGCCGGGTCAAAATCAGGGGTGGTGGCGCAGCATAAGGGGTTGAAGTGAGTGTGTGAAAAGTTGGTTATTTGAGAACGTCACGTCGCGGTTTCGATTAGTGGACCTAAAGTGTGGAAGAATATTGTCGAAAGAAAACAAAAATCATCTTGATCTGTATAAAGAAGTCAGATGGCAGTTGGATGTGTGTACGGAAGTGCTTCTGCTGGAGGATGAGGTCACAGCTGTGCGATATGCGAAGTCGTCTGCGAGAATGGATTCGAATTGGCATTTGCTGAATCGAAATGATTGTTGTCCTGGTAACGAAAACTTGCGGGATGCTGTGATTGCCAGTCATTAGTGAAAGACAAGCTGGTTTAGCTAAGTAAGGAATAATTTCCTAAAATAGACACCCGCTGCCCAGATCGATGAGTACAACGGTTGAGGAGGTGGTGACGGTCGAGAAGGAGAAGGAGAGAAGCGAAGAAACACTGGTCAACGATTGGTCGTACGACGAGAGTACAGCTTTTTGCATGGGAATGGTGGACAAAGGTGGCACTGTGGGAGGCGAGGTGGTGACAAAGAGATGATGGGGCTGGATGACGGAAGAGGTATAGTGATATCGCTTTTCGATTCTTCGTCGCTCGCCGTCGCCGTGTATGTCGCGGCATTTTTCTTAAACCTCTTCTCGGCGGTTTAGTCGTTGGGATTTTTTTTTTGCGCGGTTCTCTTCGTGTATCTCATACACTCTTCTATACACGCCCACCCTGCCTACGAACCCTGCTTCCATCAGCCGTCTCCTCGGACTTTGGAGAGTCCGGGCAGAGCACAAAGCTAACTTGAGCTCGTTCGTACAGTTGGCTGGAGCTGGACTGGTGTTAAAAGATTTTAATTTTTGCATATAATGAACCTCTTATATCTTCTTATGTGTGAGGTTTCTATTCACCAGTTCTCGGACTCGGAGGACCAACGACGAGTGACACCGCGAGGGCCGGTGGATGAAGTAGGAGTAGGAAAAGCCGCAAGCAACGGATTTGCAAACTAGCTCCTCTCGGCGGCGGCAGCGGTGAGCTTATGGAGGAGCCTGCTTCTTTCTGAACTGCTTGCTGCACCAACCAACACCTCTATATGTAAAACTAGTTGATTAACAGCTGCACACCGCACGCCTGAAACTGGGAGAAGCGATGTGTGGTACGGCTGTGCTATCAGATTTCTGCGGGTTTTGCCAGCCTGCAAGATTTAGCTACGATCAGGGCGCAACACATGAGACTTCAATAATAATACGCAACCCGTCCCGTCGCCAGTGGAACAGTCTCAGTTTCTCGAGGGAGGTCAGGTAGCTGCTGCTGTTGCTGCTGTTGCTGAAATTGTGCTACAAGAGGGGAGTGAAAATTGCTGGTTTGTAAACAAAGTAGGCGTGTGAGAATCGTTCAGAGGAAAATCAGTGATCGCAGTAGGCTCCACTGTTCCGTCGTTCCACTCATCTCAGTATGTCATAAAGTTGACCGTTCAATTGAAGGGTCAACTCCAAAGTACAAATGCTCCAACTGAGAAAAGGTAAATTGAGTGTTGCTTTGTTGTTTGCATATTGTAATTAGACGAGAAATGCAAACAGCCTTTTCCACATTCCACCGTCGTCTAAATTGCTGCTGCTGTTGCTGGTCCAGGTTGGTGTGTTTATCTTTTTCCACACACACACACACACCGGCTGCCTGTCCTCCTGTCCGGTCCGTTGTGTGCCTCCCCTAGAAGACCAGCCTTTTTCCTGTAACTGGAGGTCTTATGGGCTGTCCTCGCAAAGTGGCTGTAGGGTGCTTGTTGCACCACGCAAAACTACGACGACGGCTGCCACGACGAGTACGTGAGTGCAATCTTGGTTCAGCGTTGAGAGGGCTTTCAAAGCAGCGCTGCACACATATGTGTGTATCAGGCAATTACTGAGCTAAGTGTACCCACATATCTTGTGTACTTAAGAGCTCCGGGGGCTCCAGAGGTGGAAGGTGGCAATTTGATGGATAACGCAATTGCTATGGATCATTAGATAAATATCTTGGAATTTCTACTTATAGTGCGCCAAATGGTATTTTTTTTTCGATTTCATTATAAAATTTAATATTTCTAACGTTCAGAATCATAAGGGGTTAACTGCGATGATCGATTTTCTTCATAGATTTTCCCTTTTTTTGATAACTCGTCCAGATTATCATTTTCCGGCGCGTTTGCTGTTGTTGTTGCTATCCAACACTGAACACAACCTTTTACAGAACTGCATTGAAAAATAATCGGGAAATTGGTTCACTTAACTGTAGTAATCATAATAGAAAATCGATTGAAAGATTCGACCATCGTAGTTAGGCCATTATGATTCTGAACGCTGGACGCTATATGTCAAGTTTATTTCCTGATGTGCTCAGAATTTCTATAAATTTTTCTGATGTTTCCTGATGTTCTCTGGAATGCTATGAAGTTTTTCCCGAATTTTTTGTAACTTCTTTAAGTATCCGCAATTTATCTGAAATTAAAACAAAATAATAAATGTCGTTCGAAAATTTTCACAAAAGTTCTCAAAATTTCTCTGAAGCTCATAAATGCGTCGAAAAATTATAGATACAAATTCATCATAATTTTAAAATTTCCCCAACAGTGACTTTCCTGATGTTGTCCTGTACCCAATACTCCTACTCCGTAGTACTTATGAGGGTGTCACTAATTCGGTGGCCTCTCGTTGAGTAAGTAGTATCCCTAGTTACGGTAATTATAGGCGTGGCCGGGAATAGTGACAGTCATGCTTTTGGTATTCTTGTTAACTTCCTAGCATTATTCCTGAACGCAGTTTGACTAAGAATTTCAGAAGAGCCGTGAGTGTCACTAGTATCCGAAGTATACCGTAGCAACGCTGACGCTAACGCTAATGTGTTGATCGGAATTACACCTAAAATCCTTCTCAAGAGCAGTTGTTGTCGACGTCGGTAAGATCACCACTGGGATTGAAATCTAGTGACAGCAAGTTGAACGGGAACTTGATCGTAATTTTTCAGTGATTTAAGGAGCTCGTTGGCCTTGTGGCGACCAATTTTGCTTACTACTCATGGGTTCGAAAATTTCAGACTTATTTTTTCTATCATTGATTTTTTCATCGCGTTTTAGCTCGAAACAATGTGCCACTCGATAACATAATTCTAGAAAAGAACTTTAGTGCAAAGCAAGTGCAAGTGATCGAGTAAAATGCATTTCAAAGTGTTTTTTATCAGCATCCTTTTGGTCGGAACTGTTATTAGGCGATTTGCAAGTTGGCCCGACAATTCTGATTGGATTGGAGGCGGATTGTGCAAGAGTTTCTTTGAAGATCCGATGGAATGGTTTGAAGTGTTGAGATGCAACAGTCTTCCAAGTTTTTGCTTCACGGGCAAACCATCGTTCATTTGGTGAGATCGTTCCTGTTTATAGATTCACCTGTTTCGGTTTCTACAACTTTGTCTTAGACATCATTTCGATCATTTCATCAAAGCCGCTTTCGTGCTGTATTTTGATGAGAAATCAAATGTCGAGTGCGCTATTGTCAAAGGTTGAGAACGAGTGGTTATGGCCAAGTTCCAACATAGATTTGCCAACTGTTTCATTAGGCAAGCGTTTCGTCCTAGTGCTTTTTTCTGGTTTTAGACGTTTGATGTTTTGTACCTTGAAGTTCCATTTTTGTGATCATGATTTGTCTGAAGAATTTTCGAACTAGTTTCGCAATAACCCTGAAAAGTCTTGGAAGTGCCAGTAGTGCAGCAAGACATGACGGCCTTTTATTCCATTTTTTTTTCTTTTCAGAAAGCGAGTAATGGCGCTATAACCATAAGCCATATAGGGCTAAGCCAAGAGCTAGTGCTCATGTCCCAACCACTCGAGGAAAATGGAGCATCATTTAACTTTTTTAGATTAGATGTTCCCAACGACCAATCATTTATAACAACGGAACGTACGGTACGAGATGTCCACCCCAAGTAACATTTCCAGTTTTATAAAGGTTTTATAGCATTCTACAAGTCTAAATCATGGTCTGCAGAACCTTCATAAAACCAAAAACTTACTTGGGACGTTTCATCCATTTATTGAATTCTGAAGCATCGTCCGATGTTTCTGAATCATCTTGCCCCTTAAATGCTGCACAGTAGGCCTGGCCGTTTTGATATATTTTGCGCATCTCTGATGTACAACATATACCAAATAGACAAGAAAAAGGATGGAGGTATATCTATCATTTTCCAGGATGCTTTCATGAACTGGCTGTGTTGGTATTAGATTAGATTAGATACCATGACAATCACGAAAAGCCCTTAAAATTAGCTCAAAATTACCTGATGTTCGTTTCTTTCCAAAATTTGAATAAAACTGTCGGATCTTCGTAAATTCCATGAGTCTCCAGGAACTTCTTTGAAGTTCCTGCAACTTCCTTGACATTTATTGAACTTCTCTTATAGGTTCTTTGATTTGTGTTAATGATCTCCAAGCATCCCTAAAGTTCTCTGAATTCTGCTGAAGCTCTTGGTACTGCCCTGAAATAAATGGAACTGTCCTAAAAATCCTTTGAACTTTCCTTTCGCTGGGCTTCTTTGAAGTTCCCAAATTTTCAATGTAATTTTCTTAACTTCTCTGGAGATCTCTGGATTACTTTGAAATTCTCGGAACTTTTTTATGGGTCTCGAAATTTTCCTGAAGTTCATGGAACTGTTCTGAAAATATTGGAACTTACACTTACATAACTCACGCTTACGCTTAAAACTTCCCTGAAAGTCTGGACTTTCATGCAGCTCTCGGAACTTCCCTAAAGTTATTGGAACTGCACATAAGATCTCTGTAATTCCCCAAAGATCTCTAGATCAGGCATCTCTGAGGTACTTGGCATCCACAATTTTCATTAAGTTCTCTCTACATTTCTGGTGTTTTATTGACTTACCTGAAGTTCGCTGAATATTCCTGAAGATCTCAGTTTCTGCAGTTTTCCTGCCTTGACGTTCTTTAAGCTCCCCTGAAGTGTCCAAAATATTCCAGAATTTTTCGGAATTTCCCTTATGTTCTCGTA